GACTCGTGTGCAGTGCCAGACCTTGGGATGCTTGTACTGCAAGGAACACAGGTCAACAACATTGTGTGGCATGGTCTTGGGGCAGTTCTACAGCTGTTCCTTGTTAATACTAGTACCAGTGGGAAGTATCAGCGTTTGCTCCCATGTCATCCTTGTGTTAGCAGGGATGGTTTTATGTAATAATACGTGCTGGGTGATAAAAGATCTGACTGTATAAAACCCTACCTTTTTTTTTTTTTTTAATTTATTTTGGTGCTCGGAGCTACAGTACATATAGATTAACTGCCTTATGCTTAAGGAATGTTAATGTATAGTCAGAATCAGCAGTTAGAAAATGGTAAGATTGAGTCAGTGTGTACAACCTGTACTCCAATTGGTTTTAAAATGCTGCTCTAGTCCGTTACTGAGTTTGCATGGCTACATCTGTGTAAGGAGCCAAGTGGATAGCATTACTTCAGAGAACAATATGCTGCTGTGAAGTTACTGACCATAAGAAATTGTAGCCACAAAGACCATTTTTATCAGTAGGTTAGAAATGTGTGAGTGTCCACCTTTGTAGTTGTTGCAGGGTCATGAGTGCTATTTTCTCCTCATGCGAATATACACGTTGCTGCTCTAACTCTTGAGTTGTGGTTGGATGCTGAGTAACCGCACTTGCTAACTTTTGTGTGAAGTTCTTGCAGCAGTCTGATTATAAAGTTTTTGCTGGACTGTTGTGGCCTTAGAAGAAATACGCTAATTTGTATTTTGGGGTTTTGGTTTCTGCTTCTGGCAGAGCAACACAATCTGTCCAATACTTGGCAGCAACTATGACCTGGCTTGGAAGCTTTTATTCCATCTTTCAGTTGCCCTGTTCAGCTGGAACATTGCAACATTGTGAACTTTGTTTTTTGTTTTGGGAGTTTTCACACCTGATGTTTGGAAAAGCCATAATATAGCTTTGCCTTGCTACACATTGGAGAAAACTTAAAAAACCACCGATATTGCATGTTCAGTTGTGCATGCCATAAAAGTATTTCTTAGTATTTTCTGCAAAACTAACGTGTAACATAAACTACTTAAGTTGGTCTTACCTAATCCTTTTTCCTAGTAACTCTGAGGTAAATTGGAAAGTTTTCTAGGAAATACAGCTCAGGACCCAATACTGAAAAATAACAAAAATAATAATAAAAAAAAAGTGTAATAGGCCAAGTGACCAAACACTTTTTTAAATTTAACTACAACTGGCTGCCTGTGTGGTGTTGTGTTATTCGAAGGACACGAAAAGAATACATTTGTGTAGGACAGTCAACATACCACATGTGTGGATCTGATCAACGTTTGCCAGAGGCCCCAGAATGGATGAGAAGGCATGCTTGGTTCCCATTCCCATGTGGCTGTGAACCAGAGGCAGTCTGGGCCCTTCCCACAAGGCAAGCCTTGAGAACATTCTGAGTCACTGCAGAGGTTACTCTGACATGAAAGCACTGTGGGAACACCGTGGCTCTCTGTCTAAGCATAATAAACACATTAGAAACCTTGGTAGGTCCATGGAAAGCTTCTGCGTTGTACAAGTTCCTCCTCTGCTGATATAAAAGGTACTATTGCTGGCATTGCTGGCAAACTAACGCTTAAGATGGCTAGTTGTTTAACATGGTGAATATCTTGTGAGAAGAGCTGCAGTTCTCAGGAATGACAGTGTGAATTGATTGCGGGAGTAGGTGGAAGATAGTGTTATAACAATTGTGACATAACTGCCAAAGCTGTCCTTCCTCAGCAAACTTAAATATTTAGTTCCTGTGTAATACAGCATAATACTTTACAAAAGCAGACTAACTTGAGCCACTAATGTTCAACCAGAAAAGAATTAGAACACCCTCTGCTGGTATGAATGGCTCTGTTTTCCATTTCTCCTCAAGGACTTTTGGCATTTATCAGATGTTTATCCTAGAAATAGTAAATGACGGTTCTGAACTGTGATGCTGCCTTCTTTTTAATAACCTGAGATTATTTTTGACTCGTTTGTATTTGTTGTTTTCCTCAGAAATTTGATAATTTGTGTAATATCCCTGCTAAAGCAGATGTGAGGATAAGGTGATGCTGTTTTTTTTTTTTTAATCTACTTTTGAAAATAAGAATCTGTATTGTTTGCTAACTAGGAGATGTTTCTTGTTGGCATTGGAGGGTTCTGTGTGCAAATACATTTTTGACAAAACACAGTTAACACATGTATGCTGATAGTCATATCTGAACGGCACCTCCAAATCCATTGGACAAACTTGTGATTTCATGGACTCTCTGTTCCTAGGCCCTTTCTTAGTGGTTATCTCTGTGCTTCTGCTCAAGCTTTTAGAAAGCCTCTGTGTTGCTTGTCAAGTGATGAGCAGTCAAGAGGAAACAGGCTGGCTGAATTTTTTTTGTTGTTCCCCTTACACTCATGTTCTCAAACTCTTCCTAGGCCTGACGCATACTAATATCCTTCCTTGCCAGCTCTGGGTGGCTGAGAAGGAAATCACAAGGTAAGATGAGGTGTGGTCGCTTTCTAAATTCTTCCCTTAAAACACACGTGTGCCCAGTCTTCTGTAGTTATGTGGGTGCTGCTGCAGGCACCCAAAGCAGCCTTTTGGCAATCCAGCATTTCCTGAGGGCCCGGGGCTGTGTGGGGCTTCTTGGAACCGTTTGGGCAGCTGGCAGTAGCATTGAGCTATGGGGAGAGGAGGGCAGCCGCTACAGAGAGCCTGCTCAGTATTAATAACAGCACCATTCTTAGTAAATGGTTGCTTACATAATTTTGTTATGAAAGAATGCTGCTGGTTGAACCGTTGAATCTCTGCCACATGTGAAAGCAGCGTCCCTTCAGCACTGCCTGCTGCGAGAGAAGGGTTAAGAGTAGACAACATCCAGTCAAAGACCTTGTTTTTAATTTTGCCTCTCACACGGGCACAGATCCGGCTAAGAGCAGCCCAGATTAGTTCGGAAAAACCTTTGAAGAGATTTAAGATGTCCTTCAGCCAGTTTGAAGGTTTTTGTCTTGCAAATCCAGTACAAGGGCGCCTGCAGGCATCTCGACCCTTGCTGTGCTGCTGATGCAGCTCAAGGTCACGCTAACCCGCCCTGTGACATTCAACAACAAAAAAAAAAATTATGCGGTGAAACTGCTTCAGCGTTCAGCCAACCAACAACTTCCTCAGTTCCTCACTAAAGGAAGAAGGGTGTATTTTTTTTCTTTTTCTTTTTTTTTTTCTTTCTTTTTTCTGGCTTCGTAGGTTTTTGCTGCAGGAAATAATCCAGGATTTCTGGTGTGTGTGATGACAAGGTCATTTCTTAATTAGAACACATGTAAAGAACAAAGCTAAATGGCTTCAAAACAGCTTTGTAGTTGATGGAGAGGATTTAAATTATTTAAAGAGATAGTCACCCAAGTATGATGGAAACGGAATTCTAAACACATTAACTCTTTCAGTACTCCACAGCTTCCATATGCTACTGAAAAGAAAATGTCAAACTTGATGAGCAATGCTGCAACTGCTGATAAATGAACGTTTTTTGCATCTATTTATAGCTGAGATTGCGTTACGCTTTCCCTTATCGGAGTTGGGAAAGCCAGATATTTATTTATGACTCAGTTACGGTGAAATATTCTGCACTGGCCAAGGATTGAGAGGTAGCCATAGGAAACAGCTTCCTAGGTATCAGAGATTTGATTTCTAGCATGCTTTGTGTTTTAGTGACTGTGGTGGTGAATACATGCCTGACTTGTGGAGTGAGCATACATTCGGTATTGCTTCTGAAATACTACTGGAAGAAATTTGGACTATGTTAAAGGAGGGTTTGGGATTGAAAGGAGAGAATCAACAGTGTAAATGGCAACTCCACGTGGTTTTGAAGTATCAGCCATTTGAAAGACCTGGCTGTAGGAGGGATCTTGGAATTTGAGTTTTGTTCCTTATATTTGTTTGACTCAGAGTACCTAAATGCAAAGGCATTGGTTGAGCTGTAGCTTGGGTGTTTGCCTTTTAACTCCGGATCCCCGTAGTCCGGTCCCTCCGCGTTTATCTCTGATGTGACGTCGGGGTCTGCGCTGTGAGCTTCCCGTGCCCGTGGTCGGCCGCTCCGCATGGCGCCCCCTGTCGGAAGGGCGGCCAGCAGCACTTGCCGCGCTGGGGGAGCGGAGCCTGCCCGGCTCAGCAGGGCCGCACAGCAGCAACGGCACGGAGTAGGTAAGGGCTTTGCTAGCAGATTGGATGCAGGCTGTGTTTGTGCTCAGAGATGCTCCTGCGTGATGCGTCAGACACCTGAAATGTGGAAGAACACATCATCTTTCTCTAGCCAAAAGTTATGCGCACCAATCTGCAAGTTAGGTGTTTCAAGTGTAAAAGACATCAAGTATACTGGGGCTTTGCCTCTTGTTCTTTTGTTAGTTTGTTGTTTTTTTTTTTTTTTCCCCTGGTTAAATCTTGTGCAGCTGGAGCACGAGGTGCAGCAAATGTCAAATGTCAGGCTGAAATGGAGTATGTTGGCTGCAGACGGATTGTCCTGGCTCCCGGAGCCTCCTTGGGAGAAGGGGGAAGCTTCATTTGGCAGCACGGGCAGGGAGAGCAGGCACTGCAACTTCTGTCCTCTCTGGGCTACTGCTTCTTTCTGCCTGCACTGCCCATCTCAGTTCAGGCTTGTGGGAGGGAAACGGTAGAGGATAGGATAGCAGGCTGCACACGAGAAAAATGGATGGGGCAAGACGGATATGCTGTGTGAAATCTGTATGCCCTTGCCTAGGGTGTGCTGTGCCCTTAATATTATGGGAGACCTAAGCTCACCTGCTAGTAATTTCTAATTTACTGTCCTAATTCATCGATTTGTTATCACTAATTGTACTTCATTTACTTCAATGTAGTTTCCAGTACCTAAAGGGTTGAAAGGTTGCTGTAATTGGCACCCGCAGCTGCTCTTTCTTTTGACAGGGGATAATTTTGCAGCCTATGCTTTGTGTGACAGCTGCCTAATTGGGCATTCTCCCCTTGTAGCAAGCCTGCCTCCTCCAGCCTCCCTGCTGACAAATGGTGGTGGATTATAGATGAGGACACGCTGACCCGTTCGACCTTGCTGAGACAGCGGGGAGGGGCCTCCTGCTACTTGAGGGAAGCTTTGGGTCATTTAAAGGACAAGGTCATGAGCCAGGTGGGGAAATGACATGATATCACATGACAATAGCCCGATGACACGGTCAGTATGTCAAGGACAAACTCATCAGTATTGATTATGCTGCTTTTTCATAGCGTATCTGTGAAGCCATTGATATTTCAAAACTATTTTGCTAATTTATTCTAGGTAAAGTGCCAAACGCTATTTTCAGGGTTATTTTTAGGAGTATTTGTACAGTATTTTCTTCTAAGTACTGATCACATACAAAAGCAGTTATTAAAACCCTGTCAATAATAATTTAGAGGATTCATTTTGATGGTTTTCATAAAATGTTCATCTGCAGGAACTATAAAGAAAATACCGAGAAGGAAGAAAATCTCTGCTTTTAAATTGCAGCATTCCACTTCTAATTCCTACTTAGTAGGCACATGTAACGATCTTTGTGATAACACATGTGTTCACTTGTATCTGGTTATTGGAATGTGAGGAGTCTCTAAATAAAAAGAACCAAAGAGAAAAGTGAAATATAAATTGGGTGTTTAAAGAAAAACTCTTCCATTGGCTCAGGAGGGATACAGTGAAGATAATGCTTAGCCTATTTTAAGCTATACCAGCCAATAAAAACCTGCTAAGTGGGTTTTAGAAAATATGTTGTGAATACAAGTGACAATATTTTGAGAGCATCTTCATGTTGCATTTCGATGCTAATAAAGTTCAAGGTAAATGAAGAGCTTGTTTGACATTTGCATGTTAGACAATAATAAAATGCTTGCTTGAGGAGTAATCGGGCTGCTGGGTTGGTTATGTTAAGAGGTAAGGATAAATACAGTTGAAAAGAAAACTCCCTTTGAAGGAAGTTGTTACCCATTTTTGAACTTTAATGGTATCATTCTATTTTAGCCTCCACCCAGCAGTCTATGTTGCACACATGCCTGTGCAGCGCACACACACTTGCACCAGCACACAGGCACGTACGGATACATGCAGCAGGAGCAGAGTTTCTGAAACAGTCTGCTAAGTATAGAGGGAAGTGTTCACTTTAGCACACGGTTCGCCTTTCTGTGAAATCTGATTTGGTGTTGGATGCTGTTGTGTCTGAATCTCGTCAGTTCACCAGGATGTAATTTTACTCCCCTGAGGTAAAAAGCCGTCAGTGGTAAAGTGTGATAAATTAGTTCACGCAAATAGATGCGCGTGTGTGTGTGCGTGTTTAATTCTGACCTTGCTGTGCATGTGTTTAGCTGCTCTCGGTGCCCTAGTCAAGCCTGGTGGAGGTTTAATCCCGTGCCCTTGTACACGTATACTTGATTAGTAGTTGTGGTTATCTCGGCAGAAGACATTCCGCCCTCCTCCTTGTATTGGTCGGGACCTGGGCATTGGGGAGTCAAGTCGAAGGAGAAAGAAAAGAGATTTTTCATTAGTATTCTATGAAAGCCTTACTGTCTGCAGAACAAATTGATTGCTACAGCGTACCTGTGCTTGGCACCACTGCTGTGAAAGAAAGGTATGGTTGTAATCTGTTTTATTGTATTACATATTGTGACACTCCAGGAATGCTTAACGTTCAGCTCTTCTGTGGCACGTGCTAGAAGTCTAAGCAAAGAAAAATACGTGGATGAATGAAAAGTCTGTGAGCCTGTTGTATCTGCAGCTTTGTTTACTACAAAGAACTCGGTAGCCCCTGCTAACGAGGCAAATTTATTGTATATGCCAATGGCAATGTAAGAAGGTTGGCAATGGAGTTCTGTTTCATTTTCAGTTACAGCTGTGTTAGTAGCGGCTGCATGACTATACAGATAAAATTCCAGTTAATGCTTTAAGTGGGGGGGGCTTGGTTTAACTTTTATTAAGATGATAAAAGAGAAATATATTTGAACATTGATGCGTTTGCCTCTTTAAATGAAAATGGCTTTTTTTCCCCTAGGTCTTTTATCAGCTGCACTGGTCCCGCATCCGGGGGTGGGAGGGAGGAAGGTGGTATGTGAGGGAATGTACAAAGGCAGGAAAATCTTAGATGTGCTGGTATGATAAGCAGAACTGGAACATAGCTGAGAAAAGTCTTAAAGTATTTGAGCCTTCGGTTCTCCCACCACACAGCCCAATCATGTAAATATGCACCCACTTTTTAGCAAGAAAGCCAGCGCCGTTCATTTTCTCAACTCCATTGCAGACTTTACGCAGTTGATTCTCTAGTTTTATAAATGCTTAGTTGATCTCAGTTGTGTTTGCAAAATAGGAAGTGCTCCACTAATAAGATTCAGGCTGTTTCACAGAGGGCTGTGATTAGAGCTTCATTCTTGGCATCACTAAGTTGTGTTTGTGATTATTGGGATGTTTGCTTGTGGTCATTCCAAAACATCCGAAGTATCTGCTCTGGTCATGTAGATGTTTCCAACTAATCAAGTTCAGGACAGGTGGCAGACTTGTCCCGGATGTTTAGGTCTGGATGCAGACCTAACATAATAACCTGATGAGAAAATGAAAATCCATCTTTGCCAGTGTGCTGTTGCTATATGCAAACGGAGGTATCTGTGACATTCTCTCTCTGCTCGTTGTCCCAGCAGGTGACAAGTAAATGGACTCCTTTAAGGAAATGAAAGACGTGGAAAATGCTGTATGCTGAAGAGCAGTCATGCACTATAATAGCTACTTCTGTCTTATGGCCTTGCAGACTTAAGATTAACACTTTATAGATGTGTGGTATATTTATGAGTATTTGCTTGAGCAAATTTACACCTCCCAAAGAGTATGAATACAGCCTTATGTATGTAAGTCATTTATCATCTAGATCCTTTGACAGCTAAGAAAATTTCTGAGAATCCCAGATGCTGTGCTGTGATTGTTTGTACTCAAATGACTAATTTAATTAAAACTAATTAGTCAAAACGTATTTATTCACAGCAAATATTTTGTGAGTGAGCTGTTCTTCCCTCTGGAGTTCTTTTGGAAAGCTATATAAGTGCCTGTTGTTACAAATGGTCATAGAAATAGCTGCAAAACTTTCACAGCAGATCATAAGATAAAGGGAATTGGTCATTTTAAACAAAATTTTGAAAGTTAAAAATGATACTACTGTAGAAATAGTTAAATTGCATCTGAAATTCCATATTGACTTCTTTGTAGACTTTAACCAGTTAGTGGAAAGTACTGAGTTCTGAAGAAAGTGTTACATACAGAGCAGTCCTGCATTTCGATGCAATTAACTTCTGTTCATAAATAATTCAACCTGTGACTTTAATTTAAGGATTGGAGGAAAAGAAAATGATGTGATGAAATCTGCAGTCCTTGAAAACGCTTTACTGATCTGTGACTGCTGTGAGACTTCGTGTAACTCCTCTTCTTTTTTTTTTTTTTGAGTAGAGCCAGCTGTGGGAGTTGGGTTGTATATCTCTTCCCCTTTCCTTCCCCCTAATTTTCCCCCAGTCATTAGTTTATTGACAGCGATAGGAGGTAGATTCTTTAGTTTGCAGAGGGGAGATAGTGGACAGTGTGTTTTTGGCATCTCAGTTGCCCTAGTGTTGTGGTGTGTGTCAGCATGGGGAGCATGTGATTCGTCTGAGTTTGTTTTCTTAAAGGGAAAGTAGAAAGCTGTTTGTAGAACGAAAACTTACACTGCCAGCTTTATTGAATCAGCATGCATGAAAGCAGTAAAATCTGCATGATGATTTTGGAATACAATGTGACCTGGGGTGGTTGCTCTATTAGAAAACCACTCTTAGCATGGAGGCAGGCAGTTGATTCCACTGTTGATTGACCGTGTAGCACAGTCTTTCCTTTGGAGACATATAACCAAGTTTTAAGTGGGAGCTGATGTTTGAGCGTATTGTCAGGTGGGGCAGATTTTAGTAGGAAATTTGGGTTTAGGTGCTTTTTGAACTGTAGCTGTGCCCTCCCTGAGCTTGTGAAGTGCCTGTTGCCTGCATCTACCCCCTGTCTTTGTTAGCATGCTTTAGCATTGGTAAAGTGGTAAAGAAGAGGAATTTCAGTTGTTGCATAACTTTTCTGAGTAACTAGATCATGTGCGTGCAGATATCAAAGACAGTATTAACTCAGTGCTGTAGCTACCAGATTCCTCTTAATGCTGAAGGCAGTTGTGTAATTAAAAGCCTTGTGTACTGAACTGAGACCAGTGCTAAACCTCTTGAGGAAATTATTTTGTCTATTATGTTGGTTAACTTTCCCTAAAAATTAAGTGTTGCTGACTTCCCATTAATGTGATGGGGGAGAATTTTTATAAGACTTAATAAAATGAACCTGAGCATTATTTTTTTCCTGACTACTGGATAAAACATCTGCAGTAGCAGATGTGGTTTGAGTGATTGACTGAGATAGAACCATTAATGAAAGGGCTGCTTCCAGGGGCAAATGTGGTAAGATATGAAAGTGAAAAGCTGTGCTTAAAAACAACTTTGTACGTTTTTAAGATGTTCTCATAATGTAATTGTGACTTGTTTCTTTTAGTGGCATGAATGCCCGATTGGGATAACAGTAAATGACTTAGGTTAGATGAGGTGATTAGTATTCTTTGTTTTGTCTTTTCTCTTGGAAAACTTTGAGCTTGTTAAAAGTTCCAAACACTTAGTTTTTATTTTACGTTTTTTCTTCCACTTGTTTGAATCTTTGCTTCTACAGCATCAACCTTAGATGGTTTAATTAGCTGCTTATGAGTAGTTACAAAATTTGGAATACTGCTACTCTTCCCAACTTTTGCATGTTCTGTAAAGCCAATGGCAGTTGTTCAAGGTATTTTCTTTCTCTCATGCATAGGGGAACTATGATGGATATTTGAAAATTCTACAAATGAATTTCCACGGTAACCATGTTTGGGATTTTTAGTGATATTAGCCAAGTTTAAAAGCTTCTTATATGAATAAAATGTTAAGATCAACTTTAAATGTATGTACTTTGAAGACTGTCTTGTTAGTTCCAAGCATGGAATTTGAGATTATAAGAACTAGTGGGAAAAATATTAATATTGGTTATTAAGGGGTGAATATTCTTCCTATCCTTTTGGCTCTGTTTAAATGGAAGGCAAACTCATTTTGCCAGGCTGAAGTTCTAGTCGCTCATGCAGAGTCCACAGGAACCTCAGTCAAGCTTGGCATGATTCAGTGTTCCAGAACCTGGGCAGCACTGAGAAGTTCTGTAGCTCTTAAAAAAAGACACCTGCATGAGCATACTTGCTCTGTCAGTTTCATGCACCCCTCCTTTGTAGCTCTGCTTAGAGCACGGACTGCCAGAGTTGGGTTTTGTTTACTTGTGCGTGCAAATGAATGCTCAGCCTGTTGCTAATCTATCTGAGAAATCCAGTGCTGAATGTATTGCAGCTCAATTAGACCAACAAAAAGCAGACTGCCTGCTTTCTAAAGCAGGGAAATAAAAATGGCTCTGTTGGGGAAGGAAGTGCTTAGAGAGATGTATAAGCATTTATATATACTTCATTTTGAAAGGTCCTTGCTTCTGGATAAAAAGGACTTCATTGCTGTGGGGTTATCAGCTGCTGCTACAGTTGTTCTAACCCCAACGAACTCAGTAGACTTTGGCCATCATAGACAAATCTCTGAAAAAGAGGGGAAAACTGGTGGGATGTACGTTGATATTGGTTAGGGTTTTGGTCAGAAATAAGTGTGTTTTCTTGCACTCTGATACTATCCAGAAGCTTCCAATGTGGTTTAGACCCATACAGTGTGCATGATGAGAGGTCTTGGTGAACAGAGCAGGAGTGAAATTACTATAGTCAGTGTGCAGTGAGCAGCAGCAGCCTAGTATCAGATGTTCAGATGTCAGACTGAAATAGGTCTTTGGCAACTCGGATGCCTCTTACTTGTCATTAGTTTGCTTTTTGTTTGTGAGTGGGCTTTTTTCATGATCTCATCTTATATGTAGGTAATGCAGAATTGAATTTTTTAGTTCACTGAAGTCATGAGCAGTTTGAGATTATTTTATTTTCCAGGCTCGTGTTGTAAATAGGTAGTTCAAGAGAATTTGTTTTGTAGTTGGGAATGGTGCCTATTGTCTGTGACTTGATGTTGAATTATACTGAAGTTCTTTGTTTTTTTTTTAAATGGAGCTCCTAAATTGTGGTTAAAGAAAAAGCTGCTGCTCAGGATGCTCAGCTTCAGGCACTTTCTTCTCAGCTGCTTTTTTTTTTTTTTTTTTTTTTTTTACCAGTACTATAATTTTGAGAAAGAGAAAATCATTTCATGGAAGGGTAGTTCAGATGCACATTTTCCATAATTTGCAAGTACGGACTACTGCAGAATTACAGCTGACAGTACAATCAATGGAGGAACACATCTCTTATTAACAGTTCTGTGCTTCTAAGAACACTTCTAGCACTCTCCAAGGCTTATGAAGTCACTATGTCAGGGGGTTCTTACAGCATTCAGCACGCCATGATGGAGTGCAAAACAATTTGTAATTAAAAATGAGTGGATGAGCTTTACCGTGCAAAAATTAAACTCATAATCAAATTTGCCAGTCGAACAAAGGAAGATGTTTAATGAGAGGTTTTAGTGGCACTACCTGGAAAAGCAGAGATCTTACTTGAATATCCTTATCAAATAGTTGAAAGTTGGTGTAAAACTGTTGTAAATACTACTACCTTCCCGTGATTGATCTGTAAGGAATATAAATAGAACCTGCTCTTAGAAAGTATCTATTTGCTTTAAGGTAATTCAAGGCAAACAAACTGATTAATTGAGAAGGAAAAAAAATATTCTGTTGCATGTTACATTGAGATATATTAGCAGAAAGGCATATGTTGTTGTTCTGTGCTCTTTTGAACTGATCATGTTTCATCAGGCAGTTGACAAAACCAATTTGCATTCAATGTTCATTTTGTTTCTCATACGTAAAAATGAATTACAAGAACAGAGTTCTGTCTATTTAGAATCTTCATTTTGGAATTTTTTTAAATGAGTGGTTTGTTTTGGTCTGAATCGAGATGGTAGTCCTGCTTCTCCTTTCTCAACAACAAATTACAGAGTTGGGATGTTTTGGATCTTCCAATCTTCCCTCTTGTTCAATTGCTCAAGATCAGTGTAAAAGCAATACTAACATCCTCAGATTTTGACTTCTTATCCATATGCTTTTTACCATGCTGTTTATTTTAGTTCAGGGAAATTACTTTTTGCATCAGTACTGTAGAAACCACACTACCTAGAATTTCATCCCTACCTTTATATTTTAAAGAAAGAGGCTGTCTGTTTCTTCTTACAGTGTGCACTATTCTGTAGTCTTGTTCCTGCTCTCCTTCAGAATGCCACACTTCTGAAACTGCTTCCCCGGCAGCTTGGATAACTTGTCTGCCTTCGCTTACCATCTTCTCTTCCTGAAATCTATCTTTTCTCTACAAAATTCTTTTTCTGCTCAGCTGTCCCTGTCTTTGTAAGCACTTCGGGGTAACAGTCTGAATTTATAGGTATATAAAGTGTTTTACAATAGTAATTATGCCATACAGTGTATCCCAGCAAATGTCAAGCACAGACAGACTTGTTCCCATAAACCTGGCAGAATGTAAAGAGGCAAGTGGAATTAGCATCCGAGTAGGTTATTCTTGGTAAGCCGAACTGTTCACCTTTAGAAAGTTTAGAAAGTGCTTAAGGAGCAGAAATCAGACCCAGTAAACCCAATCTCCCTAATTTGATGAGTGGGAGGAGAAAGTATGTTTAAAAAATAAATAAATAAGCAAATGTGGACACGTGCAGAAATAAGCCTGCTGTTTGGGCTCACAAGGCTATCTCACTAAGGCAGCTGAGACAGAAAGCTTTCTTTGTTTCATTGAACTAGGTCTTGGGTTTATGTTTAACTGTTCTTTGGGACAGGTAATTTCTCTGCTTTAAAATTCCAATTTAGAAATTTCCGTGTTCATGTTGGCTTTGGCACCAGTCTCTATCGTGATTAAATAAATAACCAAGTGTTGTCATCCTGATAATCAGTTGTTCTAGGAGCAGTGTTTCCTTCCTCTGTTCTGGTCTTTCTGGTCAGTCTTCTGCGTGTGCTTACTGAGTGAAAACAGCTTGCAGCAGGGTAGAGATCCCTTTGTTGTACCAGCCAGGAATGGAAAGAGCTCTTCCTAACTCCTTAGGAGCAGCAACACAAGAGAAGCCCTTTTGCAGTGTATTTTAGCCCTTCTGTACCACTTTCTCCATGTCGTATGTGGTTTTCAATGTTGGGATTTTTTTTCTCTTCTAAGAGGAAGAGAAAAAGGTTTATTCTGGAGGCCAATTCTAAGGCTTCCAGTTGTTGACCAGCAGACCTCACATTATTGACGTGCTTAGCATCTCACAGGTACAGATGCATAGATTTTTAAACTTCATATAAGTTATGATTTCCTGAGGGAAAGAGGACAAATAGAGAAGGCTGTGAATCTCTGACGAAAGGCAAGCAACATACATAATCTGTGTTTTTGCACGTGATTTGTCAGAGCTACTTCAGTGGATTTTGATTAATTTTTATTATGATGACTTGTCAAGTGCAAGCCTCAAGAGTGCAGTTGGGTTTTTTTTGTCTGGGGAACAGTGCAAAAACATAGCGGATTTCCTGTGTGAGAGGTGCCTGAATATTTTGTTAAAAACAGATGTTTGTGCAAACGTGAGCAATGGAAGAAGGACACAATAAGCGGTTAGGCTATGTGGGCAGAAGCGAAAGAGTTACTAATGTCTGTAGAACTCAAATGAGAAATTTTAAACCACATGTAGAGTAAGAGAAAAACAGTTTAACTTGAAGGTCTGAACAGGCACCGTCTTGAAGGAAATGATTACAGTAACAGCTGTGCTCTATGTAGTGCAGAATGGTGGTTTGGTGTTTGTAATGTAGAAGCATTGGGAGTTGAAGACTAAATGAAGGTAACTGGTACGGAGAAATGAGAGGAGAAGTAATATTTTAGAAAAGCAGAATGCAGTGTCAATGGTGTCATGAGTAGGGGGACAGCAGTAATATCAGAATAATTGTATTGATTTGTATTGACTGATTACTTTTTCTAGGACAGGATGAAAAAATCCATCACACTCTTCTGGCGTGTTACCCCTTACCAGCTTGTTCAACTCTTACACAGTAATCAAGCTCTGATATTATCAGAAACTAACCCCACAAGTATAATCAATTTTAGGGGAAAACTTAGTCTCTTGAAACATCCTTTAGAAGTAAGAAGGACTTGTTTTCATGAACTAATAGGAAAGTCATCCATTAACTGTTAAAATTGCTCTCCATTTTCAGTTTCTACATTCTGACTTAATATATTTATTTTTGGCAGGGTGGAGCGAAAAGCAGATTGATAGAGCTCCAGCACTGACGCTTTCAAGGTATGAGCTTCTGACCGTGAACTTAAAGCCTACTATACTGTATCTTTTTGATTGTTTGTTTTGCTTCATATCTAAATCGCACTAGCTTTGGTCCTTATCCTTCCTAAGAATTCTGAGTCAGATTATGGTTTATTTCACATGCCCAGATAATTTTTGATCTGAGATTGTTAACTTGGCATCTGCTGAAAGCATCCCAAGAAGCTGGAGATGTGATCAACTGACTACTAGAACTTCTGGCCTTCTCTTGATAAATGGATTTTAAATTGTATTTGGTTGTTACAGAAGAGTGGGGGCAGTTCCCCTCCCTACCGTATTCCCTACTGCTTTGCTTTTGTTGCTCTTTTTGACTTGTACCTCTGCTGATCCAGTGTCACTCACTTCAGTATTAATTTGATATTTGTGAGTCATCTATCAGTTCACTTAGGTTCTGCAGAAATGTATGAGTTTGAACTTGTAAGATACCACATCGACATTACCATTGATAAAGTTCCTTGGTATCATTCAAGTTTAGCAACAGAGACAGAATGAAAACCTTTGGCTTTTGGCTTTATCCTTTTAACCACTCTAAAAAACAACAACAACAAAAAAAAAAGCATATGATATTTAGTAAGAATATATGCAGCCAATGAAACTTTTACCTTCTGGTTGCTGACAATGCCTTACTATATATTGATTCAGAAAACACTGGAGTTGCTTATTGATGGTATATTGAACTGGGAAACGATTCTGTCAAGGAAAGATGGCTTTATATAATACAAGGGACATAGGTTGTGACCCATCAGCTGTGCTCAAATCTCTACCAGGGCAGACTAAGTTGGAAATAATATCTAGCCTGATCAGCTAAATTGACAGAGTGGTGGTTTTTTGGATGCTGTTAGATAATGACTTTATACTCTACATAGGAGACTTCAAGTTGCATAAACTGTCTTTGCTTACTGTGCTTGTGACAGCGTTGCTTTGTTTTATGACAGGTTCCTTCTCTCTGTACTTAACCAGTAGGCATTAAATAGACAGCCTAAAATTGTAATTACAATTCTGGTTTATTCCTGTGTTGTTTCCCCCCCACACTCTGCAATGTTAGAAAGGCTTACAGAAAGGAGTTTACTGTCTTCCCCCTATTGCCTTTGTTACTGCTAGTTTAATTTGTTAGGCTTTCAGCACATGGCAAAAGATCACCTGCTGTGCAGGTGTGTGTTGAGCAACTTGAGGAACAGGCGAGCTGGTATAATCATTCTGGTCTAGTTTAGAATAGGAAATCTTGCTCTATGCCCTGAATAATGACTGATTATATTGTAAACTGCATTCAGATCTTGAAGGTGAACATGCTTTCATTAAGTTCTAGAACTCCAACTTGACTGGACTCTAATACTGGTTATTCACTATGATGTGCGTCCGTTTATCATGTGCCTAATTCTGCAATATTAAGATATGTTGCGTAAAATTTGATGCCTCTTTGGTGCAGGGATCTTTATGTGTGCCTAATTTTCCCATTATTTTGGTGTCTTATTAAAATCCATAGATGTAATTTGTCAGTAAAAATAAGTTTTATAAAATGAGTGGAATTACTGTTTTACCATTTGTCTATATGTTATTTTGACTACAAAAATCCATTGATTTGAAATTTCGCATAAACATGAAAAAGGACATTGTTTTTAAAACTGGCATAAAAATTCCTTTATGGAATTAAACAGAGCAGCCAGCCCAGTGCTTCAAGATGATCAGTTGCTGTGGACTACTTTACTGAGTTGATCAGACAGAGGTACTTTCGTCATTGTGCTAGCTGACATTTGGTTTTGTTTTCTCCTGGCTAACCATTCATTCATTGCTGTTAGTCATTACCTCCTTTTAAAAGACAACACACTGAAAATAGCTTACATCTTCAGGCTCTCTTTGCTGAGAGCTTTGACTCTGCCCATTAAAGTCTTCTATAGGGAAATAAAATAGACATTTCATGTCTGAAATGCAATTCTATTTTGTCACAGTGTAAAAAAAAAAAAATAAACAAACAAAAAATTAAATAATCCCACTGCCCATTGATAGTGGTCTACTACATCCCTTTGACTTGAAAAGCATGCAGTTTGATCCCAAATTCAGAAGTAGCTGAAGTCCCCTGCTCCTGCAGGGGTTGTAGAGGGTGAGCTTGTGTTTAGCAGGAGAAAAAAAAAAAAGCTGCTGATGTCTTTTAGTTCAGATTAATTTTCATAATCAAATCAAGTGGAAAGTTTGTAATATAAAGAAAGGCCTGATATGATATGATATGCAATGGAACTTATTTACAAGCTTGATTGAAGTGAAAGAATTTTTGTGCCTTGGACTTCTTTTGTGTGCACTAATAATAAACTTAAGCTATTGAACTCCAAATAGGCTTGATTTTAAGTGTCAGTTAACTATACACTTACAGGTGTTTCTTCAAATGGTTTTGGATGTAAGATGTTTTGTACGTTTTCATGTGTGTTTGATTCTCAGAGAAAGTGTCATTAATTTGCAGATGTTGAATGAACCTCTGATGTTTTTAATCTTGAATTATAATAATTGCCTGATATTTGTGCATATATGTGTATTTATTTTTCCTTCCTCACACTTCAGTGTCTGGGTAAAAGGGTGTTGAGGGGGAGACCTTATTGCTTTCTTCCAATATCTGAAAGGTGTTTACAGCGAGAGCAGGGTTGGTCTCTTCTCACTGGTGACAGGTGACAGCATGAGGGCAAATGGCCTCAAGTTGCACCAGGATAGGTTTAGGTTGGATATCAGGAAAAACGTGTTTACAGAAAGGGTGGTTAAGCACTGGAATAGGCTCCCCAGGGAGGTGGTTGTGTCACCATCCTTGGATGTGTTTAAAAACCATCTGGATGTGGTGCTCAGGGATGTGATTTAGCAGAGGATTGTTAGAGTTAGGCTAGTATGGTTAGCTTGTGGTTGGACATCTTTGGATGATCTTCAAGGTCTTCCAACCTGAGCAATTCTGTGATTCTGTGTGTGCAGCCTTTTGTAGTGTAGGAAAGGTAGAAATTGCACTTTAATATACCTTCTTCCATTTTGTTCAAAGGGGTTAAAAAAAAAAGTTAACAGAATAGTATTGCCCTAATGTCTAAAATTTTACTCAGTTTGATCTTAACCAGTGACTGTTTTAGGATATCATGAATCAGTATCAGAGCTAGAAACGCCTATGCTGTTGTGCTGAGAAGCTTGCATGCCAGGCTTCAGGAGTGGTTTGTGTCTGGCTGTAGTAACTCAGGTGATACATGAACAGACCTATTCATAGGCATAGCGCTCCCTAAATATAAACTGTTCCCAGTCATGTCTAGACTGACATCAGAACTGTACTTGTGCAAGCCATGCTGTTCTTCAGGTTCTAGTTATTAGAAGGAACATCTCAGCTTTGTGATGGTGTTGCAGGTTTGAATGTTGTGTGCCTTTGTGTTGCTCAGTATACCTTTTCTTTCTGCTGTTTTTGTCAGAAGGTGTCCATTGCAATTGACCAACAAGATAAATATTCTTATATATATATATATATAAATATTCAGCGCATTTCAAGCTTTGAGAATGTATCAGTAGATGAGTGGATTGATAGATCAGTAAATGAATTCCATTTCTAACTGTTCTTACTCAACCTCTGAGTTTTAATGATTATTTCAACTGTTGCTATAGTGTTTAACCTGCTCAATTGCACGACGTTCAGCATTAGAGAAGCTTTCTGGGAGAAGACTGTTGTCCTGATTACAGAAGAAGTTAGTTTGATTGTATTCTGCATAGATCATGTGTTACAAGTTCTTAATTGTTTTATTAAATTGAGAAATATATGCTGTGCCCACAGCTAGTAAAGATAAATGAGTGTTAAAGCGCACCTACAATTGTTATAGAAAAGCAAGCAGCTCAGAGTACATGACTACATAAACTGAGGTCTTTATTCTGTAGCAGTGGTCTCCTTCTGGATTTGTGACTTAATACTGTTGAATAGTACAAAAAAGATTGCAAAAAGTGGTATCTTCCATTTGTTTTTCATTTAATATAATTGCTCCTTGTTTATTTGACAACCTGCCAAACTTCTTTTGTTAATGTAAACAAGCAGAGGTCAGCTGCTTTTAAAGGTGGGGAATACTTAAACTTAGAATGCACCAATGTAAAGAAAATACAGTGGTATTTCTGGTAAGTGTACTAAGAGGAGGGGAAAAAACAGCAACCAGCACCAGGAGCTTTGATCAAATGCCAGCTCTTACATCAGTCCTCTTTGTAATCTTTCTTGCTGATCTGTGACCTTGACCTTGTGTTTGTGTTTGTATGTCAAATCTATTTTAGGGATGGGCAAACTAAGTTCAGTTTAGTAGGATTTATACTGCAGCTTCATAGGATGCCTCAGTACAATATAAAAATATTCTGGTTGTTCTATTTGTGTGTATAAATTATGCATACATGTATATGTGTAGTACGCATTTTTTAAATTCTGCTTAGGAGATGCTTCTTAAAGGCATCTTCATCTGACTAGTAAAGTCATCAGAGACAGTCTGCCTGGGTTTCTTCCTAGAGAATCTCAACAGGTAGAGATACTTCTGCTGTTTGCTTTTGGCACAAGTGTGGTTTGAATCTAAAAAGTAGGCTCTGTCCTTTGTCCTACACGCTTCTCCAGACACGTTTCTCAGACATCCCCACATGGAGAACAGTGAAGCAAGCATTCTGTGGCATTTTGGGAGGTTCCTTTGGTGACATTGAGGCCCTTAGTCCTACTTACCCAGTAGGAGCTTTATGTAAGAACACTTGTGTCAGTGGAAGGAAGGTGATGAGCAAGCAGCTGAAGGTCCATGGAGTCATGTGTTCTGGCAGCAGCTTCACTCTTAAATTAGACAAATTTCTGTAGAACCATGTTTTTATATACATCTAAATGTGCAGCTTCTGAACTAGTCTGTTTTATTTATTACTGGACTTCTTCATGGTGAAGACTTTTTCCTACAAAATGATGAGACTCACTAGCAGCCAGTTAATGATTTGCTGGTGCTGTGATTGTT